CAATTGGATCTATGCTGGGCTGACATGCTTATAGCCTTGCTAGGACTTTCTAAATATGAGCACGCATGTATAACATTGTGCTGTTATTATTTCTATTAATATGATCTATTCTTGTTATTATTATTATTTTCTGACTGTTTTCCATGTTATTTGGTTAGTTCTCTTAAAAAGTACCCTCATAGATATTCAATAGACCTACGGGGCTTTGAATGTGTTAGTGAAGGGTGGCAGTATTGAATTGTGTTATCATGGGACTGCCCATATTTCCCTCTGGCCTACGCCAAGGGTTTGCCTTAGGACGCAAAGGTGCGTCATGAGTCAGGGAGATGGTCTGATGGTCTTAGTGACAATAGACCTAGATATGGGGGAGGCTTTAGTGGGTGGAATATTAGGACAATTGGAGGTTTACAAAGTTGCAGCTACAGTATGCTTTACAGTGCAAATATTATGGTACAGCTATATGGACACTTATCATCATGGTGCTTTTTAATGGTAAGTTTACAAACATTGGTTGTGTTAAGTATAATTGAAACTTGGGTATCATTATGGTAAGTGGGAAAATAAGTATAGCCAGTTACAATTGTAATGGCTTAGCAGATCATAAAAAAAGATACATTTCTACCTGGCTAAAAGATAAATAATATAATATCTATTGTTTACAGGAAACTCACTACAAATATAGATGAGGTTGGGTGGGAAAAGGACTGGGAGGGAGAAATATATGTTTGTCATGGGCAAAGAAACTCAAAAGGGGTGATTATACTAATTAATACACATTTTGATCCGATTGTGCAAACAGATCCTCAAGGAAGATGGATTCTTTTAAATATGCTATTGGACCAAAAACAGATCTGGCTAATTAATCTATATGGGCCAAATAATGATGATCCACACTTCTACAAAAATATATATAATAATCTATTGAGCTCACAAGCAACGAATGAATCTATTATTAAGGTGGGAGATTATAATACGGTTTTAAGTACCTCAATGGATCGTATAGGAAATCACACTACAAACTATCACCCTCAAGCACACTTAAGGAGATCACAAATATCATGGATACATTAGAACTAGTGGATATATGAAGGCTGAAAACCCCTGACCTAGTGAGGTATACATGTAGGAGGCTTAATCAAGCTAGCCGTCTTGATTACTTTCTGGTCTCATTCTTGCTGGCATCAAAAGTTTTAAAAGTATTAATAGGAGACCGAATGCGATCGGACCACCATCTAATTGGCCTCCATATAACTGTTATAGAATTTCCATGTGGACGGGGATATTGAAAATGTAATGAAAGTCTATTGGATGACAATTTGTTCTTAACTAAGACAAAATAATTCATAATTGACTTTTTTCTGCACAACATAGGTACAACAGATCCCCTTATTGTATGTGACACTTTTAAATGTACTTTTAGAGGCCATTCAATACAATACTCATCATTAAAACAAAAGCAGCTTAGGTCAAAAGAGATTAGACTAATAAAGGAAATAGAGGAAATAACTGTGCAGGTAGATGGTAATGGAAACTGTACTATAGAGGCACAAAATAGGTTAGAATTGGAGGTACTTATTCAAGAACGATCAAGCGTAATGTAGTACAAAAGAAAGCGAATTGGATGGAAAATTGTGAAAAATGCAAAATAATTATTCAATCTTCAACATAGAAATGCTACAAAAAATGTTTTACCAGAAACTCGTTACAAATGATACATCCATGATTCACCAAATTATATTTTGAAAGAGGAAGCTAAATATTTTTTGCATATGTTTTCTTTTCAGTCTCCTCCATTTCCACTGAATGATGTTAACTGTAAGGATTTATTTCCTAATAATAATGTAAAATTACCAAATTTACAGAAAGACCTGTGTGAAGGCCAACTTACAGAAGAGGAACTTTTTGAGGCAATTCAATCTTTTCAGTCTGGAAAAACACCAGAGCTTGATGGTATAACAGTAGAGGTATATCAGACCTATTTTTATGTACTCAAAGATCCATTATTAGCATGTTTTAACTACTCCTATAAAAATAGTAGACTTTCAGGTACTCAACAAGAAGGTCTGATTTCATTACTACTAAAACAAGACCCAGGTGGTAAGTATAAAGATCCAGTCCATTAAAAAAAACTGGAGGCCTCTTACACTTCAATGTTGTGATGCGAAAATCCTGGCGAAATGCATAGCACATAAAATGAAAAAGGTTTTACCAGATATTGTTCATCCTGATCAGACAGATTTTTAACATGGACAATATATTGGAGATAATATACAATTGAACATTATGAAACATCAAAGATACCAGGCCTGGTCTTTATAGCAGATTTTGAAAAGGCATTTGATAAAGTACGACTAGGATTTATATATAAATGCCTAGATTACTTTAATTTTGGTGAGTCTCTTATACAATGGGTTAAAGTTATGTACAGCAACCACAGATGAAAATAGTTAATAATGGTTACTTCTCAGAAAGTATTGAGCTTTTAAGAGGAGTAAAACAAGGCTGTCCATTATCTCCATATCTATTTATTATGGCCATTGAAATGCTAGCTATTAAAATTAGATCCAACAAGAACACCAAGGGGTTAGAATTCCAGGGGATAAAACAAAAGTGTCAATGTATGCCGATGACTCAAGTTTTTTCTTAAGTCCGCAATCTGGATCCCTGCACAGTCTCATTGAAGATCTTGATCACTTTTCTAGCCTCTCTGGACTAAAACCTAATTATGACAAGTGTACCATATTATGTATTGGATCGTTAAAAGACACAGTGTTTACACTACCTTGTAGTTTACCAATAAAATGGGTGGATGGTGAAGTAGACATACTTGGTATTCACATCTCAACAAATATAAATGAATTTACCACAATCAATTTCAATAGAAAGTTTGCAAATATAGATAAGATTCTGCAACCATAGAGAGGGGAATATTTGTCTATTTATTGAAAAATTACATTGATTAACTCTTTGGTCCTATCACAGTTTACTTACTTACTAATGGCACTGCCTACGCAAGACGACTCGTTTTTGAAATCATATGAGCAAAAAATATTTCATTTTATTTGGAATGCTAAGCCAGACAAAATTAAATGTGCCTATTTAAAATGATTAAATATTAAAGCTTTAAACCTCTCACTAAAAGCTTCACTCATAGGTTATACTTAAACTCAAAATGGTTCTCCAGTAGATTATTAAGAAAGGCTCATCCGTTGTTCAAAAATGGCCTTTTTGCCTTTATACAGATTACAACTTCTCATTTCCGACTAATTGAAAATGAAATTTTGTTTAAAGTATCGCCCTTTCTTAAACAAACCATACAAAGCTGGTTACAATTTCAGTTTTATCCTCCAGAAAAGATAGAACAAATATTGGGATCTGCTCAATCCAAACTTACAACCAACTGATTGGAGCATTACCACAAAAATGGAGGAGGCAAGTGGAAAAGGGAGAAGTTAGGGAACTTGTTTGCCTGCCATATATTAAAGATACAAATTGACTTAAAGGAATTGGCATAAATAGAGAAATATACCAGTTTGATTTGACGACAAAAATGTTGACCGCTGTGTTGCAATGTAAATGGGAAGAGATTTTCGATGTACCGATTCTATGGCACATGGTTTATGAACTGGTACAAAGTACAACACTTGATTCAACACTTCGAGTTTTTCAATTTAAATTATTATACAAAATTCTTGCCACCAACAGAATGCTATATACTGTATATATATGGGGCATACAACAATCTCAGCTCTGTAGATTTTGCTGCGAATCATTTATTCTGGTATTGCCCCTATGTAGCTTGTTTCTGGTCACAGGTTCAGGATTGGTTAAAAAATCACAACATTCACTTAAAATTAAACTTACAAATAGCAGTGTTGGGCGATTTGGAAAGCCATAGTCAGTCAATAAATAATATAATAATACTCGTAGGAAAAGTTTTCATCTTTAGCTCACAATCTGTGGATACTATACGATTAGAAAGGTTCAAGATTTATGTAAAACATCACAGCACAATTTAAACATATATATTAATAACTAACCCAAGATAGTTAATCTGTGTCGTTTACAGTGTGAGCAAATGAAGCATAGTGGGCAGAACAAGCAAGGAGGTGGGCAAAGCCAAGCAAGAGCTAGCGAGATCCTATTGGCGCGTTGTAGCATTATTTGCATATTTCCGTTAGGGAACGTCTCCTCTGTGAAGTGCGAGTGTGCACAACTCAATTCGATCTTACACTCCTTCAAATAAGGCTATTTTTAAAACTTTGGCAAGTCTATAAAACTTAGTGCACTGTGTTCGTAAGAGATTTTCGTTTTGGGAACAGAAATGTATTGAGATCAGATGTTTCATCGATGAGAAAATTAGCACGTAGGGCAAGTTTCACCTAGTTCCATCCTTTCCCACTACCCGCTACTGGATTTCCCCTCACTACCATATTTGGTGCTGAGAAAATGTTCTAAACAGATGCTTCAGCTTTATAGACCCTGTCTGGGTTTCCCCTTCTGTCTGTGATATTGGGCTGCAGCTACCCATACTTGGAAGATGGTAACATGCTGAAATGACACTTCCTGATCTTCAAGTGCGCCACTGAGTGTTCTCATAGGAAACGCCATCTCATGGGGTGACGCCATTCATGGCTTCGTCCATATTTTTTACAGTCTATGGCAGATACGTTGTGAACAACAGGTGCCTGGTTTGTACTTGCAAAAAAGCTATACTGGTAAATACAACTTTACAAGCAACCGAAAAAAAATAAAAAATATATATATCGTTTTTGACCATGTCCACCTCTTCGGCACCTCCATCAATAAAATCACTCATTACTGCCACTCACAGAAGAATCACCTTAAGGAATTTCCTTTTTACCCCGTACAGTTGGTGGCGGTAATGCATAATAAATATTGGATGCTAACCGCCGTTAAACTTCACCAAAGAAGAAGACGCACAGCCTGTGGATTTGGCGTATGCGTACTTGGTCAAAAACAATACCTAGTCTTTTCATACAAGGCATTCTTTCGGTTGCGTGTAAATGTGTGTTTACATACAGGGCGGGACTACAGTAAATTAAGATAGTTGCTCAGCGAAACGCCATATTTGGTGAGTAACGAACGTATTTTTACATTCTAACGTTTGCCGAGCTGTCTAATGGAAACATGTATGGTAGCTTTCTGGGCTAGAAAGGGGACTCGTCATATTCATCTTCTCCTCTGCCCAGATAGATACTGGTTCAGTCTAAATGCAAATTCTATGAATGTAAAGGCAAAGTTTGTATAGTAGGCTACTCATTTCATTATCAAAAGTCGAGCATTGTATTGTAATGGTCATTTATGCGTGATCTTTGTTGTACTGCATAAGTGAGACGATTGAGGAATTACACACAGTAGCTTACTTGCTGCTCTCCAGATTTCAGCTACAATGGAGGCTTTACCACCATGGCCCAAGGGGAAGAAGCTGGTTCACCTGGATCTGAAAGGAGCCCCTCCTAGAATTGATTACCTGCACAAGGTAATGGCACCGCTCTCCTATCTCTGCCTTATTTGTGTGTTGATTGTTGAATGCAAGAGGTCTGTCTGACCTGTCCTTTTTCTCTTTCCTCTCTCTCCAGCTGATTGGTATTTTTGCTGGTCTGGGTGCTGACGGTCTATTGGTGGAGTATGAAGACATGTTCCCCTATGAAGGAGAGCTGAAGGTGCTGCAATCCACTCAGCATTCACCATACAGGTTGGGCTATACACATCCACCATACAGGTTGGCCTATACACATCCACCATACAGGTTGGCCTAGAGCCAATCACTGATAACAACTCTTATCCTCGAACATCACTATCTTGGCCTTTCTAGAAAGTGGAAAAAAAGAAAAAATGGTTCTTACTGGCAGGTAATGATTCTCTTCTCTGCTGCAGTCGTGAGGAGGTCCTGTCTATTCAGGAAGTGGCCAAGTCCCAAGGGTTAGAGGTCATTCCTCTGGTGCAGACGTTTGGACACATGGAGGTGAGAGAGAGAGGGAACACATATCTGCCTCCCACCTGTTCATATCATACCCCAATTAATAATGGGAGAGATTGAGGCCAATGTATGTGGTTGTATTGTCTTGGTATCTTTGATATTATTTTCTTTCTTTGCCTCCTTTCTCACCCACTCTCTCACTGAACTTCTCACTCCCTCTTTCCCCCCTCTCTGTCAGTTTGTGTTGAAGCACAAGTCGTTGTGGGGGCTGAGGGAGGTGGGCCACTGCCTGGGCACTCTGAACCCCCACAGAGAGGAGGGTGTGAGGCTGGTAGAGGAGATGCTTCGCCAGGTGGTGGAGCTCCACCCAGGCAGCACCAGCCTGCACATTGGAGCTGATGAGGTGAGGCATGGTATTTTGATCCTTTTGGAATTCAAAAAAAGTGCAGACGAAGGAGAGGAGATGAGGAAAGGAAGCCATATTGAGATGCATACCAGATTTAAATAGCTTTCTAATGATGGACAATGCATGACACCCCTTTAATTGAAAGCCTTTTCCCTCCACCATACCTGTCATGCGTCCTCAGGTCTACCTGCTAGGTGAGGGGGAGGAGTCTAGACGCTGGCTGAGCACACCTGGCCGTACGGTACAGCAGCTGTTCCTCAGTCACGTGACTAGGGTAGCAAAGGGCGTCAGGGAGGCGTGGCCTAACCTCAACATGATCATGTGGGACGACATGCTGAGAGGGATGGACCACAACACACTGAAAGGTCAGGGTACAGGCTCTTAAAGTGATAGTTCTGCAAAGTTACACAATCATTTCAATGTTTTAGCCTGAAAGTAGTCTATGGGCCAGAAAAGTCTGTAATCCACCCCTAACATTTGCTTTTTTGACCTGTTTGCCAGGCAGTGGTCTAGTAGGATTGGTCCAGCTGATGCTGTGGGACTACAACCCCACCCTAGATGTGGAAAACACTGGTAAGAACTAGTGGTTTTACTAGAACAGTTTCGCTATGCACATAGACAAACACTATTTGTGCTTAATGTCAATGTTTCCCATCTCCCCCTTTCCCCTCTCCAGTAAATCTATTGGAGAGGTACAGTGGTGCAGGGCTGTCAGAACTATGGGCAGCCAGTGCCTTCAAAGGCTCTACTACCGTCCACACCTGTGTGACCAGCACACAGAGACATGTGGACAACCATCTACAGTGGCTACAGGTGGCAGCAGCCCAGCCTGAAGGCATACACATGCTGGGCATTGCCCTCACTGGCTGGCAGAGGTGAGATGGAGAGAATTCACTGGATTATAAACTTATTTTCATCTAGATTATATTGTCATAGGGCCTAATCCTAATTTGAGATCCATAATCAGACTTTTGCGTAAATCATGGGACATTTGTGCCGAAATGTATGACGTTATGATTTAGCCATAGTCTATTTAATAATCTTGTTTCAACAATAGGTATGACCACCTGTCTGTGCTATGTGAGTTGCTGCCCTTAGCTCTGCCCTCCCTGGCCTCCTGTCTACAGATACTCACACATGGTCAGTACTTTCCTCCAAATACACTTTGATTTGATGTGATCCTTGAGGTATTGTAATGGTACCTGACCCATGTTGATGGTTGTTCTGTGTGTGCTACAGGCCAGTTCAGCCCGGAGGCTCAGAGCAGGGTGACAGAGAGTTTGGGTATCTCTTCTGTAGAGGTGGAAACCATGGAAAGGTGAGAGAGAGACCCTTCATAACAGAATATGCTCCTCTGTTATAAGTGGATTGTTTTTAATCCTAAAAGTGTCTCTGTCTCTCTATGTGCCCTGCCCCAGCTCCTCTACAGGTGACTCTGAGCTGTTTCCAGGGAGGAGGTTGGCAGAGCTGGTCGTGGAACTAACAGCAATACTGCAGTCAGAAGAACTCCGCCATTTTGAAGACAACATGTGAGTGAAGCCAGTAGCCACATGGGCTGGAACTAAAGCCTACACACCATGTAGCACTCTAGGAAGAGGGTTGTTGACCACTGTAAGGCCACCAAAGGCACACATAATGATTTCTTGATTTTTACTATTAAATCGTTGAATTAAAGAGCTCTCTGACCTTGATACATATCGCTCTGTGGTTCTCAGGTTTGTGAGAGGCTGGTTCACTCCTTACCACAGACAGAGAAAGACAGTCAGCCCTCTTATTGCTCAACAGTTACAGAGTCAAGCCATGACGTAAGCATCTGAATGTTTATATTCCACCACAATTTATATGCTAACAAAGGTTTTTCGCTCCCTCATATAGTTAAAAAAATTAACCCTAACAACCCTTACCCTTGTTTCTTTCAACCACCCTTCAGATTGTTGGCTCTTGTGGAGCAGAGAGTGGCGATGGTGAGGAAGGAGATGGTGCGTCTGTACCCAGCCTCCACAGCCCAGGAGTGGGTAGAGCAGCATGTCAGCCCCGTGGTGGCTCCCCTCCAGAGGGTCCTGGTGGACACCAGAGCCAGCCTACTGGAGATGGTACCCCAAAACGTCTCAGCTTCTATGGGTGGGCAGTAGGGCTTTGCCTGGGTCCCGTTGTGTGTGTTTGACAGAGAAAGAGATCTATCCGTGCAGACTTCATACAGTGAGGTCCAAGAGGTTGTGAGAAAATGGTTCCAAGATTATCAAAAAGCAACTTTTATTTAATTGCCCTTTTAACAAAAAAAAGCAAAGACAAATGTATAAAAGTAAAAAAAAGACAAGGCAAACCAGTACCTGCAGTCATCTAGCAGCACACACTAACCGGACACAAAATATCTCATGCATTATTTATTTCAAGCAACAGAAGGCATCTGCACTCACCTTCCTCTTGCCAACAGATGCAGTAGTTAATACAGTCCAGATACAATGCATTACAGTTTACCTGTCAAACATACATATTGTTATTAACACATTGGTCTATGGACAGGAATGTTACCTAAGACTGGTCTTTCATTTTGTATATAGGGCCAGACAGAATCTGTAGGTTTCCCTATGAATAATAAATCAAATTGATTTATAAAGCCCTTTTTACATCAGCAGATGTCACAAAGTGCTATACAGAAACCCAGCCTAAAACCCCAAACAGCAAGCAATTCAGATGTAGCAGCTGTTAGATTAAGTCCATTCTAGAGGTTTTGCCTCCCCAGATTCTGTCTGACCCTAGTAATAGGACCCATCAATGCTGAAAGACATGCAAGTATTTACTTTAACATAAAAACAGGCAAACATTCTTAACTGATCCCTGGAATGCTTGATTATAGTTTACAGTCACATGCATTCAGATGGATGGATGGTTGCAGTGAATAGAGACACTCCTACTAGACCAAGATTTTCACTTGGGAGGTCTCAAACACATTGTGTTCCCTAAACTGTGGGAATGTTTGAATGAGTATTTCACATAAATACTGATTACGTTTAAATAGAAAGGCACTGTAATTATGTGGTTGAGTCTAATACAGTTATTATACAGTAATGATGATTGTTTTAAGAACAGGCAACACACCAAACTATGATTTTGTTTAAATCTTCTGTGGAAAACTACCATTCTAGAGAGTATTTAAGGCAATTTACAGTATCCGGGATAATACTACGAAATGCTGTAAAATATATTTGGGTGCATTTCAAGGCTGCTGTGGCTTCCTCTCATCTCTTCTCCTTCTATTGCACTGAAGGTTCAAAGTCCCCCTCTTCTTCTGAGTCAGTGCTGGGGTCCAGTTAATCTTCCTCCCTGACTGCCTCTTCCTCCATGACTACCGCCTCCTCTTCCTCCTGCTCCCAGCGATACTGGAGCTCCTCCAGACCCAGGAAACGCTTGAGCAATGAAGCCACTGCCTCCACATCACTGACGGAGAGGGGGAAAGAACAGGATCAAACAACTAGTAGTGATCAAGCATAGACAGCATTAATATTTTGACAATCAAAACACTCAATACATTTGTCTGATTTTACTTCTGTTCCATACCATTCTACAATATTTTAAGTTCCTGGGAAACCTGTGTTCTGATCCTTTAAAACACAACATCTTCCATGTTAGATCTATTATAAGACTATCTCTTCCCCCTCCAGACCCCCAGTCGCACCTGCGTCCCACTCCCCCCATGGTGGCGCTCTGTGTAGGGGGTAGGAGAAACCTGTGACCAGTCGCAGCACCAGCAGGTAGCCCTTCCCCAGGTAGCGCACCTTCTCCTGAACACACACGTCACGCAGGTGCCTCATGTCCATCACCACTGAGAGACAGAGACAGAGACAGGAGGAGAGGAAGGGTGTGTAAGGGAGATAGGAGGAGCAGTAGAAGAAGGACAGAGACAGGGAGAGGGTGAGTTTGCGGAGGAAAATTCCTGTAGCTCTCCAAGACCACGGTTGAAGACCCCTGCGCTAACTTTCAATGTGAAAGTACAGGACACATTAGGTGATCATGTTCCTCACCTTTCTCCTGGCCTCTCCTACACATGGTGAGAATCAGGGCATACATACTGAAGGTCTTCAGCTCTATCACATTCTTGGTTTTATCAAACACTGCCTCCATGTTCTGCATGGCCACGAACAGACAGCCTGTCACGTAGAAAAGCTTCCACAGGAGACTGTCTGTAAAGACAAGAAAACAGAGGGATGAGAGACAGGCAGACATTTATTTTTTCATTCTGTCTTAATTATGTCAATGATGACTGGGATTCAAGACAGGGGACAGGCTGGCACTGGTGATGCCTGTAAATCAGGTTGTACCTGAGCTGTAGTTTGCACCTGCCAGGCCAATGGATGCAATACCTGAAATCAGAAAAAGGACCAAATGCTGGGTCAATTTGTTTTTATGACATTGCGTCCAAAGAAATAAACTCAGAAAATACACACACATCATGATCCTACCTACGAGCAGCGACCAGGAGCGGATGCCAGGCCATCTCTTCAGGTGTAACATGTTGGTGGTGTAGTCCTCTACCTGCATATACCCCATCTTATAGACCGACAGGCAGACATTACATTTTTTAATACAATATGGATAGGTAAACGCTATATAATATAGAAGAACCATTGCCTACTCTTCTAATTCTGTGGTTACTTCAAGGAAAGAGGGAAGTAGAACATGGCCATGTGGGTTCGATATTGAAGTTATGAATAATAATCACAGATTAATGGAAACCCGGATGTTTAAACAGGGAAATTGTTGGAGCTGAGGGAATGGGGAAGCAGATCTGAAATACAAAAGGCCATGTTTTACTTCTGACATATCCCCCCTTCTCCCTCTTTCCTTGAAGTAAACTCTTAGAACAAAAGTCCCAAAGAGCAGGGTTGCCAGGTCAAGCTAAAATGTCCAGACCAATGACCACTCAAAACGTGGCCAAAAGGCATGAAAACGAGGCGAAAAAAAAATTCACAGCAAGAGGAGTTGCCATATTTATACAATAAACCCTTTTCCCATAATGTTATCGAGCCAATTAAGAAGGAATATCGTAGTAACTTGTAACGACGTTAGAAGCTAAATTCAGTTATCCTCAAAATAATAATTATTGCAAGCTGTGACATGATCAAATATAAGAATTTGAATTTGTCGCAAGAGAAAATATAATTTGCCCTTATTAAACTCGCCAGATCATTTTCCATCAATGGATGTCGATTGAACTTGTTTGACTGCTATGATTAAGCAATAAGGCACAAGGGGTTATGGTATATGGCTGTTCTTAAGCTTGCTGCAACGCGGAGTGCCTGGATACAGCCGTTAGCCATGGTATATTGGCCATATACCACAAATCCCCGGGGTGCCTTATTGCTATTATAAACTGGTTACCAACGTAATTAGAACAGTAAAAAAATTACAATTAAAATCATAGATGGTCTGACGTACCACGGCATTCAGCCAATCAGCATTCAGGGCTCGAACCAGGTTTATAATTGTAGATAAATCCCTTTTGCACATGTGCATAACTATAGATAAATCCGACAGGAGAGTTTGAGTGATGAAAGTTGGACAGAGGATCTCGAAATCTCTGAGCAAGAAACACTTGGACGAACTTTAAAAAACGAATGTTGGGGTATTTTCTGGAAATTGTGCCAGATGTTAAGACTACAAACCATTATGAATGGCCCATTTGCGAAATGGACTTGTCATTTCAATAGGCATAGGTTACAGACTAAAATCTGGGATTCTGATTGAAATTACATTTTGCTATGGTTTGCTTGGATAAAGGCAGGTAGCTTATAGCCCCTGATAGGTCTACATCTCATTTCATTTCAGCCTAGACAAGATTTAGGCAAGATGTAAACTGAACGATTTAGCAGTTTGCTTAGTTCAAATTAACAGACTAATTTATTCAACATGAATAGCGAGGCGATTTCGAGGTAAGAACTGCTTGTTTCCCAATAGGCTACTGAGGATGGGGTCATAATTTCAATCACTGAATTGAATATTAATCATATGTACAGTACCAGTCAAACGTTTGGACACACCTACTCATTCCAGGGGTTTTCTTTATTTGTACTATTTTCTACATTGTAGAATAATAGTGAAGACATCAAAACTATGAAATAACACATATGGAATCATGGAGTAACCCAATAAAGTGTTAAACAAATCAAACAAAGATATTTTATATTTGAGATTCTTCAAAGTAGCCACCCTTTGCCTTGACAGCTTTGCACACTCTTCGCATAAATAAACAGCAAGTGTTTTTTTGTTTTTTTACCAGTAGCCTAATCTGACCGCTGTTACCGTCAATCTAATGCTTTCTAACCACTGATCGGCAATTGCGATAGAGCTTTGATAACTTCCAATTTAATTAAATAAACATGTCCATTAGTAATTACATAATAACACAAGGCTACAACAACAATAAACTGAAGTTATAGGCTATTTATTAAATTGGTTTGCCAGCTCCAGGTAGGCTACACAAGTGGTACATTGATTTGCAATGACTCCAGTGATATCGTCATTTCAATATACACTGCTCCAAAAAATAAAGGGAACACTAAAATAACACACCCTAGATCTGAATGAATGAAATAATCTTATTAAATACTTTTTTCTTTACATAGTTGAATGTGCTGACAACAAAATCACACAAAAATGATCAATGGAAATCAAATGTATCAACCCATGGAGGTCTGGATTTGGAGTCACCCTCAAAATTAAAGTGGAAAACCACACTACAGGCTGATCCAACTTTGATGTAATGTCCTTAAAACAAGTCAAAATGAGGCTCAGTAGTGTGTGTGGCCTCCACGTGCCTGTATGACCTGCCTACAACGCCTGGGCATGCTCCTGATGAGGTGGCGGATGGTCTCCTGAGGGATCTCCTCCCAGACCTGGACTAAAGCATCCGCCTACTCCTGGACAGTCTGTGGTGCAACGTGGCATTGGTGGATGGAGCGAGACATGATGTCCCAGATGTGCTCAATTGGATTCAGGTCTGGGGAACGGGCAGGGCCAGTCCATAGCATCAATGCCTTCCTCTTGCAGGAACTGCTGACACACTCCAGCCACATGAGGTCTAGCATTGTCTTGCATTAGGAGGAACCCAGGGCCAACCGCACCAGCATATGGTCTCACAAGGGGTCTGAGGATCTCATCTCGGTACCTAATGGCAGTCAGGCTACCTCTGGCGAGCACATGGAGGGCTGTGCGGCCCCCCAAAGAAATGCCACCCCACACCATGACTGACCCACCGCCAAACCGATCATGCTGGAGGATGTTGCAGGCAGCAGAACGTTCTCCAAGGCGTCTCCAGACTCTGTCACGTCTGTCACATGCTCAGTGTGCACCTGCTTTCATCTGTGAAGAGCACAGGGCGCCAGTGGCGAATTTGCCAATCTTGGTGTTCTCTGGCAAATGCCAAACGTCCTGCACGGTGTTGGGCTGTAAGCACAACCCCCACCTGTGGACGTCGGGTCCTCATACCACCCTTATGGAGTCTGTTTCTGACCGTTTGAGCAGACACATGCACATTTGTGGCCTGCTGGAGGTCATTTTGCAGGGCTCTGGCAGTGCTCCACCTGCTCCTCCTTGCACAAAGGCGGAGGTAGCAGTCCTGCTGCTGGGTTGTTAACCTCCTACGGCCTCCTCCACGTCTCCTGATGTACTGGCCTGTCTCCTGGTAGCGCCTCCGTGCTCTGGACACTACGCTGACAGACACAGCAAACCTTCTTGCCACGGCTCGCATTGATGTGCCATCCTAGATGAGCTGCACTACCTGAGCCACTTGTGTGGGTTGTAGACTCCGTCTCATGCTACCACTAGAGTGAAAGCACCGCCATCATTCAAAAGTGACCAAAACATCAGCCAGGAAGCATAGGAACTGAGAAGTGGTCTGTGGTCACCACATGCAAAACCAGTCCTTTATTGGGGGTGTCTTGCTAATTGCCTATAATTTCCACCTGTTGTCTATTCCATTTGCACAACAGCATGTGACATTTATTGTCAATCAGTGTTGCTTCCTAAGTGGACAGTTTGATTTCACAGAAGTGTGATTGACTTGGAGTTACATTGTGTTGTTTAAGTGTTCCCTTTATTTTTTTGAGCAGTGTATTTTTAAGATAATCTTTGAAAACTAACAATCAACAAAATAAAAACTAGACAGTCAGGGAGAATCTGAAATTCCAAAAATGGCATGGCATGGGACCCCATTGATTTTGTTATAATGTTTGAGTCACACAGATAGCAAAAGAACAAGGCATAGGCTATGGCAAAATTTGTATAATTGCAGGAAATTATATTTTCTGAAAAAACTGACAATTCTCTGTCCCATGGCAAAATGTGTAGAATTGCAGGAAATTAGCTTTGAAACTGCAATTTTTCTCTCAGCCCCATGACAAAATGAATTTGTAGAATTGCAGGAAACTAGCTTTAAAACTGTAAAATGTTCTCTCTGCCCCAAGGCAAAATGTGTAGAAATGCAGGAAATGTGCTTTAAAACAAAATGTGTTTGTCTCTGTGGCCAAGCAGAGGGCCTCTAATACCGGGCCTTTGCACTACACACCAGCCAGGGTCAATAGAAGAAACCACCTTCACCAGCACGTGTCTAAAGCACAGGCCTACTGCTGACCCACAGTTCATCTACTCAACCAGCTCTCAAGACAACGTCTACATTAGAGGAACACTGTAACATTGAAGGGAATGGAATAAGTTATTCTGCAATTTATGTCACGTCGTTCGCGCCTGTTGCTCCCTCGCTCACGTGACTCAGCCAATAGCTGTTGTGCTCTCTCAACTCTCTCACACACACATACATACATACCCCTCCGGCCCTCCCCACCACTCACTCACAGTAATAGCCTGCCTCAGCAGCAGGTCTTTCTTCCGGGTTACGTCTATGCTGATTGGATGATAACATGAGCTACAGTTTATCCACCCCCTCATGATAAAAATGTAGAGGCAACAATGTAGCAATATTTATAACAACTTGTCTCGGATATTTTAATAACACAAACTCCTAGAAGAAGGAAAAAAAACGCATCTCAATCATTTGTGATTTTAAGAGTGTGTTACAGTACTAGAATATAGTCATTGATTTATACCGAAAGTGGGAGGAAAAAAAACGTTTTCACATGGCGAGTGATGCACGCAAAGAGTTTTACGCATGCGCCCTTGATTGACCGGGGCTCAATGGAGTCACTCATGTTTTCTTATAGCACAATGGTCACGAATTCTGAAGTGAAGCGGTCTGGAAAACCGGTCTCGAACCCCCGACTAATTTCTACATCAGCGGGTCTTGTGACAGAAACCGTCGCGGAGTCGCATATTGTCCATTGTAGCCTTTCAGTGGTATCGTAATTGCTCCAGATATTGTTGAGGTAAACATTGCTACATATTACCCTGGCTCAAACTCCCCCTCTCTCCTTTACGCAACAGCTTGAAAGGTGTCTAAAGTCATTTGTATAAAGGCAGAATAGTAGAAAACGTCCACCCGGTGAGTGAGTGAGTGAGTGAGTGCAGTGATGTAATAAATACATGTATTTATTGATATATTATATTTTACTAATACATTAACTCTTTTTTTTTTTTACTGTATCCTTTTTTTGTTTTAGTTTGAATCAAATATTACAGACAATCGACGTCATTGAGTCCAATAATTGCCAAGAACATAAAAGATACACACACAAAAATGACTTATAAGATAATTCGTTATAATATTGGACTTTAGGCAAGCTTTTCTTATTATTTAGTAGTTTCAGAGACTCAATTGAAACAAATTCTCTCAAAAACACTTTAAAGCAGGGGGTTGATTAAAAAAAATAAAAAATGGTTTTGTGGATATAACATTTATCAACCAAAATCATGACATTAGTTCTACATTTCAAAGAGTTCAGAGTACTGTCAAAAAAGATAAAAATATTTTTGCATATATCCCGAGTGGCGCAGCGGTCTAAGGCACTGCATCTCAGTGCTTGAGGCGTCATTACAGACCCCCTGGTTCGATTCCAGGCTGTATCATAGCCGGCGGTGATTGGGAGTCCCATAGGGCGGCGCACAATTGGCCCAGTGTCGTCCGGGTTTGGCCGGTGTAGGCCGTCATTGTAAATATGAATTTGTTCTTAACTGACTTGCCTAGTTAAATAAAGGTACTTTTTTTTTTTTTTTTTACATTTTACTCAGTATGTACTCCTCCATATCTCTCCAAAATCTAATAGTGTTAGAACAACTGTAAAACAAATGTGTCAGCGTTGCAGGTTCATCGTTGTCATCAATGTCTGTAAACCTTTACACCATTGTGTTGGAGGGGTACATATTGTGCAAAAATATTTAGGTGCACCTCTCTTATCTTATTAGAAATAGGCCTACAAAATTTTAAGGGACAAAGCCAAGACTTTCACCACTGAATGTCTGATAGTTGTGAATTAAAAAAGGATTTCCCTCTGTGTGATCTTTCTTTTGCTATAAAACTATTATCTTTATGTGTTTATGTGTACACTTGGGACTTTTGATATAAATACCATTAATAAATAGACTAGGTTATATTCTAAGTGTATCTTGAAAACGCATATTACTTTTCATTAGATGGGAAATACCTGAGGGAATAGCATTAACCACAGAGCGATATTCTTTGTATGTGACAGAAAAGGCTTTGACTCTTAAAAAGACCTCATAACTTAACGTTTGGCCACCACTATCAAACATGTCACCAAAAAATATGATATTTTCTCTATCCAATGTTGCATAAAAATACTTTTGTTTTTAAATAGTGATATTACCATTATTCCACAGAATAGCTTTGAGGCGAAAAGTCATGCTCAAAACATAATTTCCATGCCATAGTGCTTGCTGATAACATTTTGATAATTTAATGTTGTTATTAAAGATTCAGGAGATTCTATGCAGTCTTTCAACCACTTAATCTTAAAGGTATTATTCATATCCACAAAATCCAATAACTCAAAACCTCCTCCTGCCTTGGTTGCAGAGAGAACTTACTTTTTTTAAGGTGATGATATATGTTTTTCCACACAGTTGGTAAATTAATTGTTAATCTTCTTACATGTGGATTCATGTACAAAAAGAGAGAGAGCTGGATAAACAAACTGAGATACACCCTCAGCCTTTGTTAAAAGAACCCTTCCTAACTAAAACATTTAATGGCTGATGATGGACCCTGGTATGGACGTCATAGGTTATCTGAGCCATGCCAGACATTGCACATTTGTTGCCAAGCAAGGAATGTTTTTCTCCCGCCTCCAATTACTGTTTAGTTAGAGATTTAAAACTACCAGAAAGCATAATCATAGATAATTAACCCTTACCAGGATATAAACAGCTAAATAAATTGCTGTTTATATTGGGTCCTGGTAATAGGCCTAAATGTTCTCACAGAGGCTTCAGCCTTTATTTAGCAGTTATTATATAAATTATGATGATGAATGATGTATAATAATGATCTATTGTTATTTTTGTCTTTATTTACTGTATACTATGTACGCCAATTTTGAATACAGTAGCCTACTCAGAGGACACACACACAGATGACTTGGGGTTTGGGTCCATTCTTTGGATCTTCATCAATATAATCGTTATCATAGTCCTCTGTAGCTCAGCTGATATAGCACGGCTCTTGTAACGCCAAGGTAGTGGGTTCGATCCCCGGGACCACCCATACACAAAAATGTATGCATGCATGACTGTAAGTCGCTTTGGATAAAAGCATCTGCTAAATGGCATATTATTATTATTATTTTTATTATTATAGTGTACCTATTTTGAGATAAGAATAATGATCCTGATTGGTTAGGACAGGGTTAATGATGTAGAAGTTGGGTGGAGTTGAGTCACACATACACCCAAATACTAGCATTTTAGTTTGGATCGTACAGTAGTTGGCATGACAGTTGTCCAAGGAGAATGTGTAGAAGTGTTGTGAAGATTCCAGGTCTACTCCAGAGTTGGATGGCTACTGCAGAGTTAGGTCTACTGTTGAGTTGGATGGCTTACTGATCCTGCTCCTGTGTTTGTAAGAAATCCAACCCACAGCCATTTCACAGAAAAATGTCAGAAGTGAACATCGGAAGACGCAAGGAGAAGTGTGAGAACTGCACTAAACAGGTAAGCCCATGGAATGTTTGTGGTTTCACTGTGCAGTGTGGAAGTGTCTTTCTGCAACTGAAATTGTCTATCCAGTTGAATTTGTCCCAGTTGTTTGAGTGCATTACTTTTAGCATATTATAGTAAAAAAAAATATATTGTGTCCAATTCTAACCTTGAATAATTTATTGATTTGTTGGTTGATTGGTCATTTCCAGTGCAACAAGAAGCAGAGTGATGAAGGCATTAGCTCCCTTCCAGAGAAAGATGTAGCCAACAGAGAAGTCCCTGCCTCCTCCCATCTACTCAAGCAGCAGGTGTTGCTGAGTGCCTGTCTGTCCTGTGAGGGCTGTGTGTCCGAGGAGGAGAGCCTAAAGATCTCCCAACAGAACCTGGAGGAGATGGCCCGCGTCCTGGGCCTCAACAAGGTACTACTGGACCACTGACCAGGCTACCTGGGTCGTATTCAATAGGCACCAAATGGAAGAAAACAACTGAAACAGGGAGGGACTACCTGAATTTACCCAATAAGAACTGCTTTTTTTCCTTTTTCGTTGCAAAGGGTTTTGCTGAGGTGGTCAGAATGCAAACCTGGACACCTCACATGATTATCCTCCCTAAGCACTTGTGGACATCTGCGAGGCTTTGTGATGTCAATGCTTCAATAATAGCTAAAGAGACAAGGTTGTATATTGTCTGAGAGGAAAGAGGAACAATTGGGTTATCTTTGCTGTACTTAGTTTCCAGATCACCTCATGTCAGATTTGTTTTAATGTGTGTTGTTATTGCTCTTTTCTCTTTTCCTGGCATGCAGACTGATTGTTTGGTTTCAGTTTGTTTCTCTTCACTGAAATGTGTGGGGCATTCAGTGTTGACGCCAGGTAAATGGTCTCTTTCTTCTCGGCCAAAGTTTGACATGTCCCTCTCTCCCTCTTTTTATAATTGCAGAAGTGTGATGTGTCCAAACACAAGGTCCTGGTGGTGTCGGTGTGTCCCCAGTCTCTGCCTTTCTTCGCTGTCAAGTTTGGTCTGGACATTCCTGAGGCCACACGCAAACTTTGTGGCTTCCTCAAGAGCCTGGGTAAGTGAGCGTGTACAGTACCTATGTCTCTGTGTTGATTTGAACTGGGAATTCCAGACAAGCCCTGTAGTTTCTTCAAATGTCTTTGTGTGTGTGGTGAGAGAGAGAGTGTGATGTATGAGTGATTAGTAGAACACAGCGTGTGTATGTGAAATATAAGTGCGGTACATTCATTGGCATCTACCATACCAAAATAATCATTCTCTTCCTTTCGCTCTCACCCCCCTACCGCACCATCCCTTTCTGTCTGTAGGAGTGCAGTATGTGTTTGATACTACTCTAGCTGCAGGGTTCAGTATTCTGGAGAGCCAGAGAGACTTTGTCCAGAGGTACAGCAGGAGGCACCATGATAGCCACGCCCTACCCATGTTCACCTCCTCCTGTCCAGGTAATATTTACTCACTCTCCTCCTTCCTCCTCTTGTTCCTCCTCCTCCGCCTCCCCCCCCCCCCCCCCCCCCGACCCTCTACACACACGCACACACACACACACACACACACACACACACACACACACACACACACACACACACACACACACACACACACACACACACACACACACACCTGAGTATAAAATGTTAAGCAGCTTTGTTGTGTTTCAGTTTAACATTTGTGTGTGCTGTTTGAGGGAAGTGTAGTGGTATTAAGCTAAGGTTATTAAGGGTTGGACCTAGCTCCCAGTTGAAAGTAGAGATAGCAGAGCCGGGCTGGGAGGGAGAGATACAGACACAGCCTCACACCACTCCCTTCCCTGGAGATAGGCCCTTCAGGAGAGGAGTCGCTCTCCCTCTCTTGCTCTCTCATTCGCTCTCTCTTGCACTCGTTCTCCTTATGTTCTCTTTTTTTTCTGTTTCAGTCTTGCTCGCTCTACATCTTTCTCTGACCCCAACCCTTTAGATAATAAAACCATAAGCTTAGGACTCAAGTGAATTTCATTATTCTATTTCTGTTCAGGGTGGATCCGGTACGCTGAGCGTGTTCTGGGCAGTCTGGTCACTCCTCACATCTGTACGGCCAGGTCTCCTCAACAGATCATGGGCTGTCTGGTCAAAGACTATTTCACCAAACAACAGGTCAGCACTATTCGTGTGTTATAACAACCTATCCCATACAATTAAATGAAACTCATGAGAACATGTGAATAGTGATTGATGCCACACTATTCATGTGTTATAACCGTGTTACTCATCTCACACAACAGGTGAATAGTGTTTTATATGTGTCTGCTTTGTGTTTGTAGAAGCTGAGCCCAGACAAGCTTTACCATATCGTGGTGGCTCCATGCTTCGATAAGAAACTGGAGGCGGTGCGAGGGGAGTTCTACAACAGTCTCCTGGAGAGCAGAGACGTGGACTGTGTCCTCACATCAGGTACTATGCTCTCATTACCTCTACAGTGCATTCGGAAAGTATTCACACCCCTTGACTTTTTCCACATTTTGTTACGTTACAGACTTATTCTAAAACTGAATAAATAAACACACAATGCCCCATAATGACAAAGCAAAAACAGGTTTTTTAAAATGTTTGCAAATGTATTAAAAATATATATATTTACGTAAGTATTCAGACCCTTTGCTATGAGACTTGAAATTGAGCTGAGGTACATCCTCTTTCCATTGATCATCCTTGAGATGTTCCTACAACTTGATTGGAGTCCACCTGTGGTAAATTCAATTGATTGACATGATTTGGAAAGGCACACACCTGTCGATATAAGGTCCCACAGTTGACAGTGCATGTCAGAGCAAAAACCAAGCCATGACGTCGAAGGAATTGTCCTAAGAGGACCCCAAGAACACAGTGGCCTCCATCATTCTTAAATGGAAGAAGTTTGGAACCACCAAGACTCTACCTAGAACTGGCACGCCCAGCCAAACTGAGCAATCGGGGGAGAAGGGCCTTGGTCAGGGAGGTGACCAAAAACCCAATGGTCACTCTGACAGAGCTCCAGAGTTCCTCTGTGGAGTTGGGAGAACCTTCCAGAAGGACAACCATCTCTGCAGCACTCCACCAATCAGGCCTTTATGGTAGAGTGGCCAGTTCGGAAGCCACTCCTCAGTAAAAGGCACGATAGCCCGCTTAGAGTTTGCCAAAAGGCACCTAAAGGACTCGCAGACCATGAGAACCAAGATTGAACTCTTTGGCCTGAATACCAAGCGTCACGTCTGGAGGAAACCTGGCACCATCCCTACAGTGAAGCATGGTGGTGGCAGCATCATGCTGTGGGGATGTTGTTCAGCGGCAGGGACTGGGAGACTAGTCCGGATCGAAGGAAAGATGAACAAAGCAAAGTACAGAGAGATCCTTGATGAAAACCTGCTCCAGAGCGGACCTCAGACTGGGGCGAACATTCATCTTCCAACAGGACAACAACCCTAAGCACACAGCCAAGACAACCCAGGAGTGGCTTCCGGACAAGTCTCTGAATGTCCTTGAGTGGCCCAGCCAGAGCCCGGACTTTAACCCGATCGAACATCTCTGGAGATACCTGAAAATAGCTGTGCAGCGACGCTCCCCATCCAACCTGACAGAGCTTGAGAGGATCGGCAGAGAAGAATGGGAGAAACTCCCCAAATACAGGTGTGCCAAGCTTGTAGCGTCATACCCAAGAAGACTCAAGGCTGTAATCGCTGCCAAAGGTGCTTCAACAAAGTACTGAGTAAAGGGTCTGAAAACCTATGTAAATGTGATATTTCAGTTGTTTCTTTGGTATTTTTAGCAAAACAATCTAAAAACCTGTTTTTGCTTTGTCATTATGGTGTATTGTGTGTTTATTTAATCAATTTTAGAATAAGACTGTAACGTAACAAAATGTGGAAAAAGTCAAGGGGTCTGAATACTTTCTGAATGCACACTACCTTGATTACATAAGTATTCAATACATGTTAGTCACCTTTGGCAGCGATTACAGCTGTGAGTCTTTCTGGGTAAGTCTCTTAAGAGTTTTGCACACCTGGATTGTACAATATTGGCACATTATTCTTAAAAAATTCTTCAAGATCTGTCAAGTTGGTTGTTGATCATTGCTAGACAGCCATTTTCAAGTCTTGCCATAGATTTGTAGGCTAATTTACGTCAAAACTGTAAGCAACTCCAGTGTATTAAAAAAATAATGTATGCACTCACTAACTGTAAGTCGCTCTGGATAAGAGCGTCTGCTAAATGACTAAAATGTAAATGAATATTTTGGCCTTGTGTTTTAGGTTATTGTGAAGGTAAATTTGTCTCCCAGTGTCTGTTGGAAAGCAGACTGAACCAGGTTTTTGCCTGTGCTTAGCTCCATTCCGTTTATTTTATCCTAAAAAACTCCCTAGTCCTTGCCGATGACAAGCAGCCACCACCATGCTGGAAAATATGAAGAGTGCTACTTGGTGATGTGTTGTGTTGGATTTGCCGCAAACATGACGCTTTGTATTCTGGACATAAAGTTTAATTTCTTTGCCACATTCTTTGCAGTTTTACTTCAGTCCCTTATTGCAAACAGGATGCATGTTTTGGAATATTTTTATTCTGTACAGGCTTTCTTCTTTTCATCCTCAGTTTTCTCCCATCACGGCCATTAAACTCTATGACTGTCCCTGAGCAGTTTCCTTGCTCTCCGGCAACCGAGTTAGGAAGGACGCCTGTATCTTTGTAGTGACTGTGTGTATTAATACACCATCCAAAGTGTAATTAATAACTTCAACATGCTCAAAGGAATATTCAATGTCTGCTTTTTTTACCCATCTACCAATAGGTGCCCTTCTTTGTGAGGCATTGGAAAACATCCCTGTTCTTTGTGGTTGAATATGTTTGAAATTCAATTCTCGACTGAGTGAGGTAGTCATTCAAAAATTATGTTCAACACTATTATTGCACACAGTCCATGCAACTTATTATGTGACTTGTTAAGCACATTTTTACCCCTGCACTTATTTAGGCTTACCATAACAAAGGGCTGTCACGCCCTGGCTCTGGGGACTCTTTAATGTTGAGCCAGGGTGTTAGTTTCTATGTTTTGTGTTTCTATGTTGGCCGGGGTGCTTCTCAATCAGAGGCAACGTGAATCAGCTGTTGCTTGTTGTCTCTGATTGGGAACCATACTTAGGTAGTCGTTTGGCATTTGTGTGGTGTGGTATCTTGTTCCGTGTTGGTTTGTTTGTTAAACCGAGGACTTCACGTTTCGTTTTGTCGTTTTTGTTCGTTGTGTAAGTACTCTAATAAAAGATGTACGCATTCCACGCTGCGCCTTGGCCCGTTTCTTCAAATGATGAGCGTGACAGAAGATACCACCTCGACTGGGTCAAGCAGCGTGAAGAGGAGAGAGGTTGGACTTGGGAGCAGAGGAGGGAGAGTCTGGCGAGAGCCATGGAGGCCATATCCACGGGGGAGAGACAAGCCCAATACATTTTTAGGGGGGGGCTCACACCGTGGACGACGGGGCTGCTGGAGGCAGATAAGGGGCGAGTTTGTGGACAAGGAGAGAAGGCCACCGGGTTACGGGAGCCATTGGTGATTAGAGGGAAGGAAAGTGTAGAGGCACGGCGAGAGGTACTGAAGTGTGTTGCCAGTCCGGTCCGGCCCGTTCCTGATCCCCGTATAAGGCCAGTGGTGTGTGTTCCCAGTGCGGTCCGGCCTGTTCCTGTCCCTCGCACCAAGCCTGTGATGCACGTCGCCAGCCCGGCCCGGCCTGTTCCTGCCCCTCGCACCAAGCCAATGGTGCGCGTCGCCAGTCCGGTCCGGCCTGTTCCTGCTCCCCGCACCAAGTCAATGGTGCGCGTCGCAAGCCCGGCCCGGCCTGTTCCTGCTCCCCGCACCAAGCCTGTGGTGCGCGTCGTCAGCCCGGTCCGGCCTGTTCGCTTCGTCAGCCCGGTTCGGCCCGTCCCTGCTCCCCGCACCAAGCCAATGGTGCGCGTCGTCAGCCCGGTCCGGCCCGTCCCTGCTTCCCGCACCAAGCCTGTGGTGCGCGTCGTCAGTCCGGCACAGCCCGTGCCCGTTTCACAGGTGCCTGGTCAGGTACCGGTCAGCTGCTCCACACCGGAGCCTAAGCAATCCGTTCCACCGATGTCCAGTCCAGCTCCAGCCAGCGGGACCAGACCAGGGGCACTACGGGGGGGTTGTTAGAGGGTGGGGGTCACGCCCGGAGCCGGATCCGCCGCTGAGGTGGAATGCCCACCCGGTCCCTCCCCTGTGGTGTTTGGTTGGCGCGGTCGCAGTCCGCGCCTTTGGGGGGGGGGGGTACTGTCACGCCCTGGCTCTGGGGACTCTTTAATGTTGAGCCAGGGTGTTCGTTTCTATGTTTTGTGTTTCTATGTTGGCCGGGGTGGTTCTCAATCAGAGGCAACGTGAATCAGCTGTTGCTTGTTGTCTCTGATTGGGAACCATACTTAGGTAGTCGTTTGGCATTTGTGTGGTGTGGTATCTTGTTCCGTGTTGGTTTGTTTGTTAAACCGAGGACTTCACGTTTCGTTTTGTCGTTTTTGTTCGTTGTGTAAGTACTCTAATAAAAGATGTACGCATTCCACGCTGCGCCTTGGCCCGTTTCTTCAAATGACGATCGTGACAAGGGCTTGAATAGTTATTGACTCAAGACATTTCAGCTTTTCATGTGTAATTAATTTCCAAAGAATTCAAAAACGTAATTCCAATTTGACATTATGGGGTATTGTGTGTAGGCCAGTGACACAAAATCTAAATTTCATCAATTTTAAATTCAGGCTGTAACACAACAGAATGTGGAAAAAGTCAAGGGTTGTGAATACTTTCTGAAGTCACTGTATATCTATCCTCTCTACCTCTTTCTTTCTCTCTCTCTCTCTTTTCATCAACCACTTTCTTCCTGTCATCATTTACAGCCTCTACCTCTCACAGGATGTAACTCGATGCATCATGCCAGCTATACTTTCAGTTCCCTGTCTCCAAGACCTAGACCCACTTCATTTCCCCCCTCTCTAAACCCAGAAATGGAGGAACATCAGACAGTGAGGCATATCATTCATGTTTATACTGTAAACCTGTAGGTTTAGGCTTTATAAGTTGTCCGTTGTTTAATGTAAGACTGTGAATCTGTGTGTGTTCCAGGGGAGGTGTTCCACATGATGGAGCAGATGAAGGTGTCATTAGCAGATCTGGACCCCGTCCCTCTAGACCACGTGTGAGTGTTTCACTTTTCACTGGCCTCTCATCAGGAAGTTTGTGTCAGTGCTCAATGTGGGGCTCATTGCTCAGTGAAGCGGTGATCTGTGTGTGCGTGTGTATGTGTAGGTGTGTGTACATGTGTGTACGCCCCTAGGCTTTGGAATGGTCTGCCAGAGGAGATCAGGCTTGCAGATTCAGTGCCTCTGTTCAAATCCCTGCTGAAGACACACTTTTATAAAGATGCTTTTAATGTAGGATTTCAATGTAGGATTTTAATTAGTTATCTTTTTTCATTATCCTTCCTCCTAATCAAATCAAATGAAGCTTTATTTATACAGCACATTTCAGACATGAAATGCAACACAATGTGGTTTACAGGAATCAACAAATAAAAACACTGAAAAGAAAAGCTGAAATATTTACTACACAACAAACATAAGATAAAAAACAAAATAATGACAAACTGAACAACTAAAAAGCACCCTGAGGAAAAGCAAAGCTAAAAAGATGTGTTTTAAGATCTCTTTTAAAAATGTCCACAGTTTCAGCCCCCCTCAGGTTCTCTGGCATGGTATTCCAGAGGCTGACTCTCCATGCCTCTTGGTCCTAGGCTTTGGGGATAATTAAAAGGCCAGTGCCAGAGGACCTGAGGGACCTACTGGGTACATAACATAAATGTCTGACATGTATTGGGGTGCACAATCGTGGATTGATTTAAAAAACAATAGAATAATCTTAAAATGAATTCTAAAACTCACAGGCAGCCAGTGCAGAGACCTTAAAACCGGTGTAATGTGTGCTCACCGTCTGGTCTTGGTCAGTACCCATGCTGCAGCATTCTGTGTGTTTTGCAGTTGACCAATGGCTTTCTTGGGTAGACCAGACAGGAGAGCATTGCAGTAGTCAAGCCTGCTTGTAATAAAAGCATGGATGAGTCTCTCTGTATCAGCCTGAGAGAGAAACGGCCGCACCATGGCAATGTTCCTCAGGTGGTAAAAAGCTATTTTGGTCACATTCCTAATGTTTGATTCAAAATGTAGTTCAGAATCTAAAATAACACCTAGGTTTTTTACCTGGTGTTTTATCTTTATTGCCCATGAATAACATATATAAACTGAACAGTACCGGAACCAAAATCTAACCTTGTGGAACGCCACGTGATAAGTATTTTCTCTGAGTTATGTTGGGTGACAAAAAACTCTTGACCGGTTAAATAGGTCCTAAACCAATTTAGAACTGGACCAGAGAGGCCAACCCACCTCTCCAGTCTGTCCAGAAGGACATAATGGTTAACAGTGTCGAATGCAGCACTTAAATCTAAGAGAAATTTGAAAAATACAGTTGGTACTTAAAAAATCTGTCTGGACACCCAGTTTCTCCAGAATTTTGCTTAAGAATGAAAGGTTGGAGATTGGCCGAAAATTGCTAAGAACTGAATAATCTACACTGCACAAAAAAATTAAGGGATCACTTAAACAACACAATGTAACTCCAAGTCAATCACACTTCTGTGAAATCAAACTGTCCACTTAGGAAGCAACACTGATTGACAATAAATGTCACATGCTGTTGTGCAAATGGAATAGACAACAGGTGGAAATTATAGGCAATTAGCAAGACACCCCCAATAAAGGACTGGTTTTGCAGGTGGTGACCACAGACCACTTCTCAGTTCCTATGCTTCCTGGCTGATGTTTTGGTCACTTTTGAATGCTGGCGGTGCTTTCACTCTAGTGGTAGCATGAGACGGAGTCTACAACCCACACAAGTGGCTCAGGTAGTGCAGCTCATCCAGGATGGCACATCAATGCGAGCTGTGGCAAGAAGGTTTGCTGTGTCTGTCAGCGTAGTGTCCAGAGCATGGAGGCACTACCAGGAGACAGGCCAGTACATCAGGAGACGTGGAGGAGGGCAAAAACCCAGCAGCAGGACTGCTACCTCTGCCTTTGTGCAAGGAGGAGCAGGAGGAACACTGCCAGAGCCCTGCAAAATGACCTCCAGCAGGCCACAAATGTGCACGTGTCTGCTCAAACGGTCAGAAACAGACTCCATGAGGGTGGTATGAGGGCCCGACGTCCACAGGTGGGGGTTGTGCTTACAGCCCAACACCGTGCAGGACGTTTGGCATTTGCCAGAGAACACCAAGATTGGCAAATTCGCCACTGGCGCCCTGTGCTCTTCACAGATGAAAGCAGGTTCACACTGAGCACATGTGACAGACGTGACAGAGTCTAGAGACGCCGTGGAGAACGTTCTGCTGCCTGCAACATCCTCCAGCATGACCGGTTTGGCGGTGGGTCAGTCATGGTGTGGGGTGGCATTTCTTTGGGGGGCCGCACATCCCTCCATGTGCTCGCCAGAGGTAGCCTGACTGCCATTAGGTACCGAGATGAGATCCTCAGACCCCTTGTGAGACCATATGCTGGTGCGGTTGGCCCTGGGTTCCTCCTAATGCAAGACAATGCTAGACCTCATGTGGCTGGATTGTGTCAGCAGTTCCTGCAAGAGGAAGGCATTGATGCTATGGACTGGCCCGCCCGTTCCCCAGACCTGAATCCATTTGAGCACATCTGGGACATCATGTCTCGCTCCATCCACCAATGCCACGTTGCACCACAGACTGTCCAGGAGTTGGCGGATGCTTTAGTCCAGGTCTGGGAGGAGATCCCTCAGGAGACCATCCGCCACCTCATCAGGAGCATGCCCAGGCGTTGTAGGGAGGTCATACAGGCACGTGGAGGCCACACACACTACTGTGCCTCATTTTGACTTGTTTTAAGGACATTACATCAAAGTTGGATCAGCCTGTAGTGTGGTTTTCCACTTTAATTTTGAGGGTGACTCCAAATCCAGACCTCCATGGGTTGATAAATTTGATTTCCATTGATAATTTTTGTGTGATTTTGTTGTCAGCACATTCAACTATGTAAAGAAAAAAGTATTTAATAAGATTATTTCATTCATTCAGATCTAGGATGTGTTATTTTAGTGTTCCCTTTATTTTTTTGAGCAGTGTAGATTTTGTTTCTTTGTTAGTACTTCTATTTTATTATTTTATGATGTGAAGTACTTTTTTACTTGTATTGAAAAGTGCTATACAAATAGTTATTATTATTATTATTATTATTATTATTATGCGTGTGTACGTGTGTCTGTGAGTGTATTTCTGTGTGTTAGGTTCAGTGACTCAGAGTGTGTAACGTTCTCCTCCATCTCCATGTTAGCCTGGGTGAGGCGGGGGACCCAGCCTTGGTGAGACACCAGGGCAGAGGATCGGAGGGCTTCCTGGAACACATCTTCAAATACGCTGCATCTGAACTGTTTGGTCTGGATGTAGAGGAGATCACATACAAGACTCTCAGGTAAGGTGGGAGGAGGGGAGAGAGGGATGACCGGGAGAGAGAGAAAGATTGAAGACCTTGAACTGAGAAAGATGGCAAGGGAGGGATGAGAGCAGAGAGGGGTAGAAAAGGGGGTAGAGGAAGCAGGCTGTAAAAGAGGGAGTGAATTTAAATATCCCATCTCCCTCTCATTCTGTCTCCCCCTCCCTTCCTTCCTCTAGGAACCGTGACTTCCAGGAGGTGTGTCTGGAGCGGGAAGGGGAGGTGCTGCTGCAGTTTGCATCCGTCTATGGCTTCAGGAACATCCAGACCCTGGTCCACCGCATGAGGAAAGGACACGTCCCCTACCAATTGGTGGAAGTGCTCTCCTGCCCAGGAGGTAACCCATTGGCCCAGCCACCTCAGTCACATCTACTTCCTAGTTCTGGTTTGGTTTTGGGTAAATGTGACGAGGCAATTGTGAAAACCTGTTTGTGTTAGAAATTCTTGCGCAAACCATTTTTTTTACAATTGAGTAACCCCAGATTAGGCTGCCAGTGAACTTAAATCCACAGGTGCGAGTCTAAAAAATGTAACTGAGGAAGCTGAATTCATGTAGAAACTACAGTAGAAATGTAGTGTGATCTTTATTGTCCCAATGAATGTTGACCCTTCATTCTCCCATCTTCTCTCTCTCGCCACTCTTCTATTCTCTCCCCCATCTCCCCTCTCTCTCCCCAGGTTGTATGAGTGGTCGTGGGCAGGCGCAGGGAGAGACAGGAGGTCGGGTGGACAAGGCCTTGGTTCAGCAGATGGAGGAGGCCTACAGCAGTCTACCAGTCAGGCTGCCTGACACCAACCCTGTCCTACACATACTCTACCAGGACTGGCTGGAGGGACAGGACTCAACGCACACAAACACACTCCTACACACACAGTACACACAGCAGAGCCCCAGCCAGACATGGACACACACACAGCCCCCGCACATACAGTGGTGAGACACACACACACCTCTCGTACACACCCACACACACAGAAAACTCAAACACACCTCAACATCCAAAAGCCCAATATGAGGGGTATCAGGACCTTGGGGCATCACTGACCCTTTCTCTTCTAAGGACCACTGCAATGGTTCCCATATGTACCATTGTATAGGCGGGGAGGGCCAGAGGACCTGGATGTTGCTTTTGTGGTCCTTTGCACCCTGCCTAAAGAATAATCTATGGAAAATACTGGACCAATATATCCCAGAAAGACTTGATTCTGAATTTACTTAAATCTGCCACAAGGTGGAGCTGTTGTTCCATCTATTTCACTGCTCTAGACCGCTGTGGAGGCTGGTCCACTGTGCTCTCACACCATGGAGGGGAAACGAAGCTATGGGAAAATGACACTAGTGCCAAATATGTGGGCTCGATTCCAGAGGGAATCAATTATGTGACGGACCACAACATTTAATCCAGAGGCACACATTTGCATTTAATCTGCCAGCCAAAGGAGCAATAACCAGTTAACGTGTACTGAATGTTAAGCCTGTAAGTAGGTCTAGATGCCTTAGTAGTAATGCATTTCAGAGGGGTAAAAATATCCAAAATGTTCAACATAAAACCAGGTGTACTTGTTTCAACTGTGAAATGTATATGTTATTTTGTCTCCTGTGATTCCAAAATGCTAAATGATCAATCAATTGCTAGATCTTCTCACTAAAAATGCTGATAGTGCTGTTGTGACTGCCATTTGCATTGCATGTGTTCATCCATGTCATAATCACTGCAACCATCTTGGCCTTATTATGGCCATATGATATATAATCAGGGCCATGGGTTTTACCTGACCAGGAAAAACTCCTGATTCAGACTATTTAGATGCACCTTAAGTGTAGCTAGCTCTTCAAAGTGGTACAAAACAACTTTTAATTTGTCTTGACCTTTTAAGTTTAATGTTTTGTTCGTGTTCAAACACACAATCTGTAATTCGAACAATAACAATAATTTGGTAAACAGCTGAGGGATAGGGATGGAGAAATGTAACCACTCTCAAATTCATAGACAGAGCTTTTGAGACTTACCATTTATGATTTCAAAATTATAATTTTAACCATAACAAATCAAATTGTATTTGCCAAATGCTTTGTAAACAACAGGTGTAGACTAACAGTGAAATGCTAACTTACGTGTCCTTTTCCAACAATGCTTAGTTAAAGATATAAAATAAAACACGAGGAATGAATACACAGTGAATAACAATAATGTTTTGTTTATATTTACATTGTTTTAGAAACAAATTAATATATTTAGGGTTCTGATGGGGTACGACAGTTGATCTAAGCTCATGAGGCATTTATAAGTAGTATATTTTTCAAGTCCAAATATGAGTGTACCAATCACAGATTGTCCCTTTTAAGGTTATTGTTTTATTTTACCAGTGTCACACATGTTGAGCATTAAAACAATTCTAACCTGGAAATCAGTCTGATTTGAATTCATTCTGAAATGGGACTGGGAATATATCCCTCTCGCTCTTGCTCTTGCTCTTGCTCTCGCTCTCGCTCTCTCTCTCTCTCTCTCTCTCTCTCTCTCTCTCTCTCTCTCTCTCTCTCTCTCTCTCTCTCTCCTCTCTCTCTCTCTCTCTCTCTCTCTCTCTCTCTCTCTCTCTCTCTCTCTCTCTCTCTCTCTCTCTCTCGCGCACTCTCTCTAGAATGCTTTAGACTCTAGATCCTAGAATTTTGAAAATGTGTGGAAAACACATCAAATCATCCACCTCTGTTCTGACAAAGATAAAGGGATGCAAAGGTTGCATTTTAGTAGTGCAGGCTGGGGCTCTTTCACCTCTGTAAACTATAGTTTCAAGTTTTAATGTCACATGCACAAGTACAGTTTCTTGCAAACTCAAAACCCCAAAATGCAATAATCAATAACAATGTATTACTAGAAAATAAACACGAGTAATAAGAATAGGAAATATGAAATACACAATTAAGTAAGTAAGTAAGCATATTATATACAGGAAATATTTAAAAATCATATCCATTACCATATTTACATGTGCAGGGATACTGGGGTGATGGAAGTAGATATGTATAGGGGTAAGGGGACAAGGCAACAGGATATAAGATAAACAGAGTAGCAGCAGCTTGCATGTGAGTGGGTGTGTAGAGTCAGTATAAACTGTATGTGCATATTATGTGTGAGTGAGAAAATAATGGAGTAAGTGTTTGTGTGTGTGTGTGTGTGTGTGTGTTGGAGTGACAATGTCTGTGTGTGCATAGAGACAGTGCAAATATTGAAATAAAAATGCACTACTCAACCAGAGGATGGCAGTAAACCTCTAAGTAGTTTGCTGCTGTGGATATTATACAGTATGGAGTCTATATTGGGAATCAGGAAGGTCTGGTTTAGCTTGTTTTCCTTTCAGATAGAGGGAAAGTTAAAAGGGGAATATCCACTCTCTCCACCCACTCTCTTCTACCACAGTTATAACTAGGGACAATTCACAATCGGGATTTATTGGATTACGGAACCTCCAGAGGCTGTGAGCTTGTAAGTGCATTATACTTACTACTTAGATCATTGTGAGCTTGTGTGATTGTGTGTGTGTGTGCGTGCCTTTCCTTAAGACACACGTGTGTGTGTGTGTGTGTCAGGATATATTAGTCACCTGACCTTGAGGTGACATCTCATGGTTACGCTCAGGGTCTCTATCTCAGAATCACCTTTTAGAGTCTGTGTTTGATGGTGAATTCAGCTGAACTGTGGGTGTTGTATAACTGCCTTAACAGTCTGATGGCCTTGAGATAGAAGCTGTTTTTCAGTCTCTCGGTCCCAGCTTTGATGCACCTGTACTGACCTCGCCTTCTGGATGACAGCGGGGTGAACAGGCAGTGACTCAGGTGGTTGTTGTCCTTGATGATATTTTTGGCCTTCCTGTGACATCGGGTGCTATAGATGTCCTGGAGGGCAGGTAGTTTGCCCCCGGTGATGCGTTGGGCAGACCGCACCACCCTCTGGAGAGCCCTGCGGTTGCGGGCGGTGCAGTTTCTGAACCAGGTGGTGATACAGCCCGACAGGATGCTCTCAATTGTGCATCTGTAAAAGTTTGTGAGGGTTTTAGGTGCCAAGCCAAATTTCTTCAGCCTCCTGAGGTTGAAGAGGCGCTGTTGCGCCTTATTCACCACACTGTCTGTGTGGGTGGACCATTTCAGATCATGAGTGATGTGTACGCCAAGGAACATGAAGCTTTCCACCTTCTCCACTGCTGTCCCATTGATTTGGATAGGGGCGTGCTCCCTCTGCTGTTTCCTGAAGTCCGCAATCAGCTCCTTTGTTTTGTTGACATTGAGTGAGAGGTTATTTTCCTGGCACCACACTCCCAGGGCTCTCACATCCTCCCTGTAGGCTGCCTCGTCATTGTTGGTAATCAGGCCTACTACTGTTGTGTCATCTACAAACTTGATGATTGAGTTGGAGGCGTGCGTGGCCACGCAGTCATGGGTGAACAGGGAGTACAGGAGGGGGCTAAGCACGCACCCTTGTGGGGCCCCTGTGTTGAGGATGTTGAGGTGTTGTTTCCTACCTTCACCATCTGGGGGCGGCCCGTCAGGAAGTCCAGGACCCAGTTGCACAGGGCGGGGTTCAGACCCACGGCCCGAGCTTAATGATGAGCTTGGAGGGTAGTATGGTATTGAATGCTGAGCTATAGTCAATGAACAGCATTCTTACATAGGTATTCCTCTTGTCCAGATGGGATAGGGCAGTGTGCAGTGCGATGGCGATTGCATCGTCTGTGGATCTATTGGGGCGGTAAGCAAATTGAAGTGGGTCTAGGGTGTCAGGTAAGGTTGAGGTGATATGATCCTTGACTAGCCCTCAAAGCACTTCATGATGACAGAAGTTAGTGCTACGGGGCGATAGTCATTTAGTTCAGTTACCTTTGCTTTCTTGGGTACAGGAACAATGGTGGATATCTTGAAGCAAGTTGGGACAGCAGACTGGGATAGGGAGAGATTGAATATATCTGAAAACACTCCAGCCAGCTGGTCTGCGCATGCTCTGAGGACGCGGCTAGGAATACCGTCTGGGCTGGCAGCCTTGTGAGGGGTTAACACCCTTAAATGTCTTACTCATGTCGGCCACGGAGAAGGAGAGCCCACAGTCCTTGGTAGCGTGCCGCATCGGTGGCACTGTGTAATCCTCAAAGCGGGCGATGAAGGTGTTTAGCTTGTCCGGAAGCAAGACGTCGCTGTCCGCGACGTGGCTGGTTTTCCCTTTTAGTCCATGATTGCCTGTAGACCCTGCCACAGACGTCTCGTGTCTGAGCCGTTGAATTGCAACTCCACTTTGTCTCTGTACTGACGTTTTGCCTGTTTGATTGCCTTACGGAGAGAATAACTACACTGTTTGTATTCGGCCATATTCCCAGTCACCTTGCCATGGTTAAATGCGGTGGTTCGCGCTTTCAGTTTTGCGCGAATGCTGCCATCTATCCACGGTTTCTGGTTTGGGTAGGTTTTAATAGTCACAGTGGGTACAACATCTCCTATACACTTCCTGATGAACTCAGTCACCGTATCCGTGTATTCGTCAGTGTTATTCTCAGTGGCTACCTGGAACATATCCCAGTCCGCGTTATCAAAATAATCTTGAAGCATGGATTCCGATTGGTCAGACCAACGTTGAATAGTCCTTAGCACGGGTACTTCCTGTTTGAGCTTCTGCCTATTGGAAGGGAGGAGCAAAATGGAGTCATGATCAGATTTGCCAAAGGCAGGGCAGGGGAGGGCCTTGTAGGCATTTCGAAAAGCTGAGTAGCAGTGGTCCAATGTTTTCTCAGAGCGAGTGCTACAGTCAATGTGTTGGTAGAATTTCGGTAGCATTTTCCTCAAATTTGCTTTGTTAAAATCCCCATCTACAATAAATGCGGCCTCAGGATATGTTTGCATAAAGTCCAGTGTAGTTATTTGAGGGCCGTTGTGGTATCGGCTTGAGGAGGAATACACACGGCTGTGACTATAACCGAAGATAATTCTCTTGGGAGGTAATACGGTCGGCATTTGATTGAGGTTAATCACACCATGAGTAGTTAATCATGAAACATACACCCCCACCTTTCTTCTTCCCGGAGAGTTCTTTATTCCTGTCTGCACGATGTACTGAGAACCCAGCTGGCTGAATGGACGGAGACAGTATATCCCGACAGAGCCACTTTTCCGTGAAACAGAAT